CCAATGATGGTGTTATTAACATTCAAAATTATTACAAAAGGGTCCGGGCTTTCCATCGGAACGACCCTAGAGTCCTAATCTCAGATGTCGGTGAAACCTGCGCTCAAAATATAAATGGAATGAATTTAGACCATGATGTTTGTAAAAAGGCAAAAGTTTTCAATGATTGTACACAATTGTATGTGATATCGTATAAAGATGCAGATGATTAAGAATTTCAATGTCAAACTCTTATTTATATAATTTTTAATAAATTTGTATATTATTTATTATTTGCAAATATAAAATCTCATATCAACGACAATACACATGTGACGCAAAGACAGAGATCTCGAATTTCCATTTTGCGTTCTTACAATCTATTGTCTTCCACAATTATTTAAAAGTACACAAATTATTCCAATATCTAAAGCGATACTTCGATTTAACAACTATTGGAATGTCTAAGAACTTCTATAATCTATAAAGTTTCAAATTAGGTTAAAGACAATTTGACTGGAAAGGTTAAGGTGACAAATGAAGAGAGTTGTCTACGTTGGTTATCTTCCTACTAATTCAGATTTGTTAGTTACAAATACAGATCCTTATTAGGGAACGCTCCGAGCTCCTCAGTGGTCATAGTGAGGTTACGATGATGATATTTACAAATACTTTAAAAACATCATTCACTAAGAACAGTTTTTATGGATACATTTTACGATAAATTAAATTATTTCCGATTAATATTGCATTGAACCGAAACTTTTATATGACTGAAATTTGGATATATCTTTTTTTTATCTCTCTCTTATAAGAAAAGGGTGGTAAAGAGAAAGGGACTAAAATTAGGCCTTCGGCACCACACTCATCAGACGAAACACGGAATTGGTTCCATTTCACGCCTGACTTCTGTAAGGTCGTGGAATACCACGATATACGCGGTGTAATAACACCGGGCGTACCAGGCCTATTCGTGCTAAGATGTTAAAGCGGGCACTACCACTGTAAATCTAGTAACATAATGTAAACATTTTGCTCATGTTTATCTCCAAATGAAATAAAGAATCGAAACCTTTGTAAATCCAAAGTATTGTTACAAACTAAAATACACAACACATTTAATAATTTAACTACTACACAATCACAACACCAACACAGCACTAGGGCAGCCTCTCGTGGCAAATACATAGTACCCAGAGTTAATAATTATTACGGCGACAGAACAATTGGAAAACGTTTACCATACATGCTCAATAACCTACCACCCGAAATAGCAAATCTAAATTCAAAATTTAAACTATTTGTTAAACATTTGGAAAGCCATCTTTTTGATAATAGCCCTTGAACAAAATATTTTATTTTTATTTATATACAGTATATATAATATTTTATTTATATATGTATGTATTTTATGTAATTCTACACAAAAAAAAACCAGCGCACCCGCGGACAAACCAATTATATGGTTTTTGCGGGGCCATATTTGTGCATATTTTTTAATTTGTGTCATGTAATGTTTTCAATAAAATAAAATAAAAAAATAAAACATAATACTCTTAATAACAATAATCTTAGTTTGATGAAGTTTTTATATACATAGACCTACTATAAATGCACTAATCTTATAAATCAAAGTGCGGGAGTGAAAGAGACTAAAATTCAACCTCCGGCAAGCACACTCATCGTTCGTCTGTTTTAGTTTTACGCCTGTCTTCTGTGTGGTCGAAGTATTGCACCAGCCACCAGTTCTGCAACTGATGGTATTGCTGGCGTCTTCTACTGTTAAATATATCTCTCTCCCTGAATCGTTTCCGCATTTCTAAAGGTCACGACTACGCTCCTTGACCATCTCTGAAAGACTCATCTCTCCCTGCACTCTGTGCGATTTTCCGCGACGTCAAATAATATATGATTATCTCATCCTGTAGCGTCAATAACTTGACCTTTTTGAGAAGTGATGTCATATATGCACTTGATAAAGTAAAAGCTTCCATTCCAGCAAAGACCTTAATCGCAGTCCTGCTCCTAACAAGGGTTGAGGCTCGCATATCTGTAATGTATGCACACGATAAGGCTTCCGACGTGGTCGCCGACCAATGCCTCAGTGAAATGTACCCTAAAGGAAAACGAGTCGAGTTCCAAGAATCAGATGAAGCATGTATAATATACTGCGTACTTAAGAAGTTCGGAATCATGAACGCGAATGGTGTCATCAACTTGGAAGCGTACCGGTAATTGTTTCAAATAGCATATAACAACGTAAAGAGTAAACTAAATCTGCTGCTGTGATAGACTTTTAAAAAGAACGTTAGTTATGAGTGTTGAGCACACCAGAGGTAGACATAGAAAGAGATGTATGGATTGTGTGAATAATGACAGAAATGAAGGTTGATAGAGTTATTTGGAGGACGACATTTGGTGCCCTGACCCTACGGGAGGAGATAAGGTGGGGAGATGAAAAGACTTAAATTGTTCCTTGGCCTCCCGGACTCCTTTCTAAATATTGTGATAAAGCGGGGTGACGGTTGGGTTATAATCCACTTTTACAGATCTTGTCAACAATAGTTTGGATCGTATATTAACAAAGATTACATGTTCCAGTAAGCGAGTTCTCCTGGCTCACCAGCTGGACCAACGCAAGCTGATGAGCGACAGCAGCGGCAGCTCATGTGCGGAGAGCGCGGAGGGAGTCCAACACAAGCAAGATGTATGCAAGAAGGCCAAGATATTCAACGATTGTACACATCTTTATAAAATATTGTTATAATAAAATTGAAGATTCTTTTGGATTTTTGAATATTAAAAGTCGCAATATATATTTTCAATTATCTTCGAAAACAGTGATAAAATATGATTTTGTAATTAATTGATTTTGAAGTTTTATATGACCTTTTTATTAATTTTTACATCAAGTATATTTTTCCCCATAAAGTTCCTTTCTCCGATATATTTCTCCAAAATTAAACGCGTGAACGAAATTTTCCTTGTATCAGCGTTGTATTGATTGAAGTTTCGTACATAAAAGATGTTAGATAAAGTGCTTTAGACCACAAAGCTTTTAATCAAACTACAAATCTCGTCCTTTACTTAACCACAAATTTTCAGGAACACATTTTCGGTTGAGAAAAGGAATTTAATCGCATATTTGATGAGGGTATGTAACCCACGATAATATCTACTAAAACGACCTTTCTAATTGCTAAATTTATTTAGGACTAGCTGTTTCTCGCGTCATCGTTTACGTGACATTCAAAAATTTAGCCTATTTTACTTAGCCATAACCTAGCTTTTTAATGGCGAAAGAATTTTTGGAATCGACCCATTAGTGTTTGAGTTATTTCAATACATACATAAATAAAAATCCTCCCTCTTTATAAAATTAGCATTTTTATATTATAAAGTTGCAAACGAGCAAGGGACCGCGTAAATCCGCCGAAATGGAGAAGCAACCGCTGCCCATAGACATCCGCAGATAGCCAACCAAAACAACTTTTATATTATCCAGACTTAGAGTAGAAGTTTCCCAGGATAAAACTGTCCTCATATTACGGAAGATTATGGAACTAATTCTACTAATAGTCGTCCTTAGTCGACCTTAATCTTCTACTAATAACTAATAGAAAGTGTTGTAATAAATAAGGTGGTTGAAGAGCCCAGATCAGGATTTTTATAATCTTAGATAAGCCATATATATCACACTGAATTGACATTAAGGTTTACGTTTAAAGACTATGAGTGCAGTTAATGTAAAAAGAAATAAAACCGTAGAATTTAACTTTTATTTCAATTTATCCGCTCAACAATTGTGATATAACAAACATTACAATCTTTTGTATCCAGCACCAAATAGAACAGCTCTTCTTCTGCGGTTCCTCCTCCTCTTCTTCTTCTTGCTTCATCGTGGTTGTAGCTGGTGTCGTATCTTCTTGACATGAATATGAAACCAAGAAGATTGTCATCAAGTATACTAACACCATCACGCAATATGTCCACTTCATTTTTATTGTCTAACTTTTTTGGGCAATGAGTGTAGTTTTGTAATGTTTGTTGTGTGTCTATTTTTCAAATGAACAAAATTTCGTTATGTTCACGTCAGAAATCATTATCATTTAGATTTCAAATTTAGATTACTTTTACGGTCATTGATTTTGTATAGAAAATGCTATTATTATGATGTCCATTTATGTTATTTATACCTAAAACACTTTAAAGTAATCTTTTATAAAAATCGACGACATAATATAAAACATTGTTCCAGCAAAAAAAAATACGAAGTACTTTTTTTACTTATTACAAATTATGATTTTTAACCATATTTAAAATGTAGAGAAAAGCTGAATTAATAAAAATCAAAATCAACAAATTACCATTTTATTGTTAACAATATACAAAATAAAGAAATGCTAGTGACAAGTTTGAAACTCAGACATTTTACACTTGACCATTTTAGTTATAAATATGATCTACTAGCTTTCGCCCAGGACTCCGTCCGCGTGGATTAAAAAAAATCAAAACTTAATAGCCTATGTGTTCTTCCAGACTATCCTCTACATCTGTACCAAATTTCATAGAAATTCGTTTAGCCGTTTAGGCTACAAACTCTAACAAACATCCATCCATCCATCCATCTAAACTTTTGCATTTATAATATTAAGTAATTAAGTAAAGTATGAAGTATGATTTAAATCATTTTATATGATACCGTAAAGCTATTTCAAGTGACATTTACGACAATTTTAGATACCTACAAGAGAAAAAAGAGCTAATGCACGTACATCATTTATATTCCACGAAAGCCTTAACCGTGCCCCAGTTCCCTTTAACAAACCTTCTTTATTTTAACGATGTTTATTCTCACCCCTGTTTCAGTTTATTCAGCACAAAACATAAATTATAATAGTTGCCAACATAAAGATGAAATGCAAAAAGTATAACCATTTAAAACAAAATCATACTAAAACATATATAAGAAACTCTCCCAAATCATCAACTTGCCCTTATCCCTTATGGAGGATCGGGACAGTATGTGCTGCTCTTCCATACATGTCTATCAGCCGTCATTTCTGAATCCACTCCTTTCTTAAGTATATCCTCTTTCACACAATCCATCCATACTTTCTTCGGTCTTCCTCTTTCTTTGTAGCCATTCACGTTAACACTTTCTGGTTTATGTCCCCATCGTCTAGTCGCATAACATGTCCATACCACGCTAACCTTTTGCTTCTCAATTTCTCTGGCGCTACTTTCAAACTTCCTCTTATGTACACATTCTTAACTTTATCCATTCTTGTCACACCTTACATCCATCTTCACATACGTATCTCAGCCACATGCAATCTCCTTTCATCCGCAACTTTGGTGGCCCAATAATCAGATTCATACAATACGACAGGTCTTATGATGGACTTGTAGATCTGTCCCTTAAGCTTAAGAGGCAAACAAACAAACTCTCCCAAATAATGGCATTTAATACTAAGAGCGTCATTGGCGCAGTTTTTTGCTTGGACTAGACTCCACACGTCCAGGTTAAATCCCCACTATAATTTTTCGATTTTCAAATACCATAATGTAGATTTACTCGACGTACTTACGTTAAAAACGTGATGCAAATATCTGCGAAGGAATCCAAAAATGTACGCAGTCTACCAACCCACACTGGGTTAGCGTGATTTACTAAGTCCAGTCATCCACGTGTAGGCACCAAGCCTCTCGATAGGAACGTATAGTTAACTGTTAGTGCATACTAACTTAATTATTAGTCGTTAATTTGTTTTTTTATAGTATTTTAACTATAGAATTTTAAAAATAAAATTATTTATATATATTATATATAAAACTCCTAGATACCAATGTTCTTTTCTACGTAATAAATGGTAGTAACTGGAGACATCAACTGCGCTCTTCAAATGTTTCTTTGCTTTGTCATTGTCCATTGCATTAGTGTGACAAATGAAAACTCTGAGTGCTTCGTACGTTGTAGCGTTTTATTTTATTGTGTAGTTGTTTATTGCATTCCAAACATTGTTTACGCGAGAAATTTAATTTTAAATTAGCTTCCAATTACGCGAACAATAAAATAAATTCATCATTGTTTAACGATTTATAGCAACGCCATCTGTCGAGTTCGCAAGAATTTTAATTATTTCTTTTTTTTAAATCCATAGAATTGCTGGCAACATTTCAACGAATTCTCTTCAGCTCGTCAAAGATAAATCAATTAGAGAATGACAACTCCAACTTTACCTTTTGTGTTAAAAAAGTTAAAGATTGGAAAGGAAGAACAGAGAATCACCATTGACCAGATGCATTCGTTACGTGACTTATTAAGTCTTATCTGAACATCTGTTCTATAAACGAACAGAAAGAAACGAATATTGAAACAATAAGAATTGTTAAGCGAAAGTTTTTGCTTTCCTTTTTATATGGAGGTTGCAGGCGGTGTTTTTCAGACAATGCATTGAATCAACCGCGTACAGGCGCCTACAAATAAAGTTTACCAACCTTTTAGAGTGAACTTTTTATTGCAGCTGACGATTCAGTTAACGTTTTAATAAACTTCGTTAAATATTAATCATTAAATTGTCAGTTTTTAAGTTACTTACATCGATGTTTTAGACGTGTTCAAATTAAGATATTAAGTATTATTTCAGGTGAGAACTTTTTCTTAGAATTCCCATTCTTTTACGATTTATTTATTAATTACATTTATTTATTATAGAATGTTCGCCGCGAGGATCCTCGTGTGGTTATTACCGACTTGCACGCTAGCCTTGCGTACTAGTACGTTTTCTGGAACAATGGTTGATTTCACAGACCCTAAGGTAAGTAAATTAACGCAAGTTATATTTAGAATTACATAAACATTAGCTATCGTAATCAGGGAAGTTAAGTGCTCACTAGGTACACATTTAAAGGACTTATCAAGTGATATTGAACTCTAAACTATCGCACAACTGTTGTAGATTGTCGATTGTTTCGCAGCCAATTCAACTGTTTAGTTGCACAACTAAAAATCGAGTAGCGTGCACACTTCCATTTAAGCTCATAGGAATCTAAAGAATTATACTGAATCGTCACCCCGATCTGTCCCCACGTGAAAATAAAAAGTTTTATCCGTCCTTTTAGTCCCAACATCACCAATGAGGTGACTGATGGCACAGTAATGAAATAAAATAAGTTCCAACCGTCCCCTCGTCGCTAGAGATGGGACTGATGACACTTTTTATTACCATCTGTCTCCATGTGGGGACATAGCGAGGTGACGGTTGAGAATTATCCAATCTAAACGAGACTAAACTGTGTTATAGTTTAGTCAAAGGAGAGCGCGGGTTCCTAATCTAACGTAAATAAAGAACCACTTTTGTATTAAGTTGATTTTATTATTTCCAGGTTCAAGGACATTTAGATGCACTAGTACGAATGGCACAAGCTTGTGTAATAAAAGTCAGGGCATCACCTAAAGATGTGAGAGCGTATTTCACCAACTCACCTCCGATCACCAGATCTGGACAATGCTTCGCTGCCTGCATGCTTGAACAAAGTGACATTATTAACCATGGCAAGGTAACTTTACTTTGCTAAGTACGACAAAGTACAAATTTGACTAAACTATCGCATGACTGTTTAGTCTCGCATTTCCTATGAGCTTATATGGAGGTGCGTGAACAATTGACAATCGGACAGTTGTACAATAGTTTAGTCAGAGGTGTGCGCCCGCTCATACTATTGCGTGAAAGATACTCAGAATGTTTATATCTTAACAAACATGTTGACAAATTCATATATCAAACGAAGACATTAATCACGCCCCCTCCACCCCTATATTGTGTTTACGTTGTATACATATGTTGCACACCGCACGTCGGTTATTACAGTCGGATTATTAAATCCAACATTGTTGGGTTTAATAATCCGTGGAAAGCGCACGTATATTTACTACACGTGGCTAATCATTATGGGATTAAATCTAATAATAAAACATTAATCTTACTAATATTATAAATGTAAAAGATTAGGTGAATGTTTGTTAGTTTGTTACTTAAACTGCTGAACGAATCTCGATGAAATTTGGCATTTTAGGGCATAGAAGAACACATAGTCTTACCTTTTAATTCATCGCGGACGGAGTCGCGAGCGAAAGCTAGTATAATATTGGTAAAAATATGAGATATGCGATATTAAAACAAACTCTATCTACCCTTTATCTAGCAAGCATCTAGTTTAGAAGCTAACCGCGTTAACGTTTTTGCCAGTGGCATACGCAGCAATGAAAATGTCATGGTACATCAATGACAAAACTATTCTTTAACACATAGATAAGAAAATTTTAATTTCTTTCCAGATAAATCGAGACCTATTGATTCATCTCGCTGGTCTTGTGAACGGGAAGAACTCTCGTGTTGTAAGAAAGCTTCACAGCATATCACGTCTCTGCCTTGACAGTATTGACGGCATGTCTGACAGATGTCAATTGGCGTCAACGTATAATGACTGTTTGAATGAAAATATGACAGAGTTCGCGTTTCCATTGGACATTGCTGAAGAGGCAGTAAGGAAAATGCCATTCCATCTTATACAACCCAAGTAAAGATTTATTTTTGAATATAATATTGTTTTGTTTACGTGCAAAACCAATAGGTTATGAGTTCCTTAGTTAGGGATATTCAACGATTACATGCATTTAGAGCCATGAATCGGCCATCTTTTGAATCGGCCGATGTGTCAAATCGGCCGATTCAAAAGTCTGTTCGGGCTATTTAGAAAAACATATGAAAATTCGGTGTAATGCGCTCTATACATGTTCATACTGATAATATATCTTTATATATATCGGCCGATTCGAAGTCTGTAGTGTGCGGGACGCACCTAATATACTGTAACTTCGGGTAAATGTGTAAAGATAATATTTATAATTTTATAATAAAATAAAAAATTAATCCACATAATACGATACTTTTCATAACTAAAAGTAAACTAACTGTACAATTTTCTTTCAGCTTACCGCAAGAGTTACGTCAATCATCATTTTAATTATTTTACAATGTATTAAACACTCATACACGAATAAAATATGCCATGAGTTTATATTTTTTTTTTAATATTATGTTAATGTCACAGTGTTAATTTTATCAATTTAAGATCTATCCAATCACCGTTATAATTCATTAGCAAATTCACATTTCTGACTAGTACAATTGTAAAGAGACGATGTTAACAATTTCTCAGTCACATGTCAATTTATGAATATTTAAACCTTTTCTTTATACTTTTACTCTAAATCTTACTAATATTATAAATGCGAAAGTTTAGATGGATGTTTGTTAGAGTTTATAGCCTTAACAGCTGAACGGATCTTGTTGAAATTTAGTACAGACTTAGAGGATAGTCTGGAAGGACACTTACGCTATTTACTTTAGTTCTTTTAAATTCCATGCGGAGTCGCCGGCGAAAGCTAGTATGAACATATTTATCAACAAAGACAGACACGTAAAAACTTTACATTACTTTAGTAATTCAATAAAACAAGCTAAATCTTGTAGAAGTAATAAAAACACTTAATAAATGAAACCAATCAACGTGAGTGGTTTTCGATCCGAGCTGATTGTCCGAGATAATTTCACTTTATTAAGTTTTTCACGAGAACCAATTTATTTTTACGGTATTTCATCATTTAGTTGGATGATTAACTAGCTTCATAATTAATTGCATTAATTTGTAAAGTACTCAAAATACAAGTTAATATTTTAATTGCAAATTGTAAAGAAGGCAAGGAATAGGTTAGCATGGTATGGGCATCAATTCCGTACCATCATTTAATTAATCAAATTATAAATACGAAAGTTTAGATGGATGGATGGATGGATGATAGTTTGTTAGAGTTTGTAGCCTAAACTGCTCAAAGGACCTGGATGAAATTTAGTATAAACTAGCTTTCCCCGCGATTCTATTTTTTTTATAATAAAAGGCGGCAAACGAGCACGCGCCCTGAATCCACCGAAATGGAAAGCGACCACTACGATGAAATAAAACGATGAAAAAGGAAAGACACTAAAATTAGGCCTCCGGCACCACACTCATCACACCACACCAAACGCGGAATTGCTTCCACTTCACGCCTGTTTTCTGTGTGGTATTACACCGGGCGAGCCGGCCCATTCGTGCGAAGATGTTAAAACGAGCTCAACCACTGTTCCGTTCCGTTTTCGTGGAATTGAAAAACAAAAGTCGGAAGCTTATATGTTCTTCCAGACTATCCTCTGCATATGTACCAAATTTTATCTAAATCCGTTCTTCTGTTTAGGCTACAAACTCTAACAGACATCCTTCCATCCATCCATCTAAACGTTCCCATTTAGTTATAATATTAGTATGATGTAATGTAGCTGTGTGTAATCAATGCAGTGTAGTCTAGCTACTTACTTTTGTTTTTAATTTTTTTATTTAACGCAGACGGAGTCGGGGGCAAAAGCTAATATGTTCAAAAACAAAAGACAATATTCGATATGTTCGGTATTTTGGTATTTTTACTCAAAAGTCCCATGTTACAAAACAATCGGAGTTAAAGATTTCAATCTCCCTTAGTGAATTTTCAAAGCTAGAAATATTTATATCGGTTTCTCGTGACCTTTTCTATTACTATTAATAACATCATAGTGTTTCTCAACAATAACGCAAAAGGTCGGTGAAGTCCCAACATGCAAAGGTGGGCGTTTCAATCACATTTCTTTGAACTACGCTTACAAAAAGAAAACTGCAAAACATCGGTCTTTTAATAAAATAGTAAATGTTAATAGAATTGGCTTCTTTTCAAATGCTAAGTTATATAATTCCACACGAACGAAATCACGGGAAAAACCTAGTGTAATACAATGAGTAGACATTAAGTTAAATTAGTTTGTAATAACTAGAAATTCTTTGCTTTTTGCAAAAACAAGGAAGGCTGGAAGGAGATGGAGGAGGCCTTTACCCAAGGAGGTATCCATATTTAAAAAAAAATTGAATAACAATACTAAAATTGAATTACAAGACTAACAATACTAACTAAACAATAGCAACAAAATGTAATTTTAAACGCGATGTAAATATGGAAATAAAGAGGCTTATTAATATTATTATTAACCAGAAATTCTTATTATTTTTAAATTTTTATTAAACAGTATTAAAGCATTTTTAAATAGCAATAAATAAAAACCTTCAGTAACGAAGCCTTATCTTATCTTCTATTTGACTACTTTTTAACTACAAAAATCTTCTAAGAAGAAAACCTTACAAAGAATCTCGCAAGTTTTATGAAAAGGATAAATGATAATTTCCCATCATTCTTACTTAAGCGACCACAGCAAAGTTAATACATCATACAGAAAGCTTTTTCTTGTAACATATAATAAGTTTTTAAAAAGATACGTTATCTCATCTACGTGATATTACGTCAAAAAGTCATAGGAAAGAGATAATTGTACAAAATTCAACATAGATTCCCGTTTAATTTCCCACTTGTAGACTAAACTAAATCTATACTGTTATAATAAAGCGTAAGTACACACTGCTTTGTTGCCTAATATGTCAGCAATTACAGTATATTTTTGAATAATCCTTTTTTTATTAAAAAGCCCTACACTTACGTCACGCTTTAGGCTATATATTTTCACGCCATTTAACTTAGGGGATAAATATTTTGGATAAAAACCCTAATCTGGGAAAGATACCATAAGTTGTTGCCAACCTTAAGAAAGCAAGATTGCGATAGTATTGACTGAGTTATGCGATAGTTTAGTCAAAGGTTTTTTTTTTATAATATTAGGTGGCAAACGAACTAGCAGCCACATGAATCCACCGAAATGAAAAGCGACCGCTGACCATAAACATCTGCCTAAGCAGGTGCGTTGCCTACCCTTAATTGGTGGAGGAGGAGATGCAGCACATAAAGAGGACATTACCCCTTCCTATACGTTTCCTCCACCGTCAAATCCACTTTTCCTATCCATACCTCTCAAGAAAATGGTGGAAAAGGACTAAAATTAGGCGTCCGGTGTGTTCGCTATTATTGTACAAATAAATACATAGCCACATAATGTTAGCAAACAAGAAAAGCAATAATAAAACGTGGAGATTTATTGGAGAATTGTTCAAATAAAATTGTATAGAGCCGTACAAATATAGAATCGTTTTCATCTTAGTCAGTAATCATATTTGAACAGTGACGTGGGCGACTCAATACCAATTGCCTTTTCAGTGTCCTTTTACTGTTTTCTCGTTACTCATTTTGTTGTTACCTTTTCTTTTATCAACACTCTATTTACTTATAATTAATATTTGTATAACGATCAATCTAGAAGTCAATAATTTAAAAATAAAGTTGATTGACTTCGTTACTCCGAAACTAAGGCAACATGTATACTATAAAAATGGAAATGAGAAATTATTTTCGAAATGTCTGTTTTCAATAAGTCGTAAAATTTCATCTTGTAAAGATAAAATTGCAAAATATTTGTTATAATTAATAATTTCCATTAAATACGACTATACGCTCCTATCATTTAAAAACGACAACAAAACGGAATTAAAACTCAAATACTGTTTTGCAATCGCGTTTTAATTCGCGTTGCAAAATAACTGTCAATTAAACATTGCCGAAAAATAGAAGCTTACGTTTTAAAACTGAAAGTGTGTAAGGAGCTTAATGCGTGGTAAATAAAGAGTTTTTTATACTATTAACAGTTATTTGACAGATTGAATAAAAATTGTCATAAGTCCTTATAAAAAAAAATAATTGATAGAAAAACGCTATTTGCTCGCAAATATCAAACGAATAAATACAAAATAATGATGTTTATTTGCAGCGCCGGATGGCATCACGCTTGTTGCACAAAAATAATGATCCAAACGTGTCTTACCCACCCACTGTATAATAGCTTTCGCCCGCGACTTCGTCTAGTTATAATTTAAAAAAAGTACTATATATTATTCTAAAATAAAATCTACGTAGTGTTTAGAGCGTCAGTGGCTCGGTGGTTTAAGCATTTGACTTGTAATCTACAGGTCTTGGGTTCGAATCCCGCCGTGTACCAATGTGATTTTCGATTTTTCGAATTTTCATATGTACATAATTTACCCGACGTTCTTACGGTGAAGGAAATAATCGTGATGCAACCTGCACATATTGGCGAAGAAATTTTAAGATATGTGTGAAGTCAACCAACCCGCACTGGGCCAGCGTGGTTGACTAAGGCCTAATCACCCTAATTTAGGGTAAGCTCAGAGCCCCTCGGTGGGGACATATGTTGAGCTGGTGATGATGTCTGTTTCAAAGTACATCAATTTTCAATAAGTTTCAATAGAGTTATGTGGTTACAAACGACCATTCAAGAACCCATTGTTCGTATTGCTAAGATTAAAACTTTACCTAAAATATCGCCCGTGATTAAAAAAAGTTAAGTAGCCTATATGTTCTTCCAGACTACCTTCTACACCTATGCTATGTTTCAGCGAGAAACTTTAAACCGTTTAAATATGTATAATAAACTTCCATCCATCTAAACTTTCGTATTTACAATATTAGTATTACAAAGCTATATTATCTAACAGTAAAAGAGATCTATATTAAGTATATAATTATAAAAACTTCTAAATAATAATTAAATCAGATATAATAATGTTCTATTATAGTCTAGAATAAACCTAGCCGT